TACACAGGAACTTGTACTATGGTATCAGTATGTTTATGTGTACTTTACACAAGTCTAAACGCACCAGACACCATCTGACACCAAGTTGACTAATGTCCAGTTAATTCCAAACCAGACTGTGTACAATGTGGCTGTTCTTCTTGCAGCCTGCAGAACACTACCGCGTCTACAGCTCACTTTGCTGTCATCTTGTTCCACATTTTGTCCCACTTTTCCCTCTGCAACAGCAGTAATACTTGCTGAGCCCTAAACCCAACATCCGTGAGTAGTGAGTGGAAAGGCAAAGCCTCAAAACAACAGTAACATGAATCAACAGAATTAAGGGGGATTAATAGCAGTTTAACGTCATTGACTGTATGTTCTTAATCTGTGAGCAAATCCAGCAATAGTTTATTAAACAATCACAACAATAAAAGGATGTGCTAGCCGATAAAACAAATGCAGATGAGATTGTTATCAGCTTAAATAGTGGACATCCTTATTTCATTTAAGGTCAAAGATATTGTGATTATCTTGATCCTTTCTGATTTTTCAGCCTGAAGGAAATATTATAAGGCCTGTTCCCCCAAAAAGCCTTTTGATGGATAAATCAGCGTCTTTAGATATTCTGATTGAATTGGATTTCATGACAGGAAGGAGCTTTTTTTTTAAACATGACAATAAGCCTTGAGCAGCAGACAATGTTCCTGCCTTGTGTGGTATGTAATTATTTATGATTGCAATTTGTAAATCCTACAGCTACTCTTTCCTTGTACGCCTACATTTTCCATGAACAGCCATTACAAAACCTTTGATCACAACACTTTGACTGTGCAGCATTTCCAACGCCACCGTTGTGGAGTCAAATCCAGGCCAAAAGTTTTGATCATTCGATGTGCCCACGTCTCCCGGAGGCAACGCGGTTGAGGATGGTTACACCCCCCCCTCAGTTGATGCCCCGCCCCCTACGATCAGGGAAAAAAGTCTGAACTACTTATCGATAATACTTTTTATCCACTTACTTTTATTTTGAATACATTGTCGTATTTTTCAATGTTCAAGACCAAAACTTAAACTTTCTGGCTCACGTTTGTTTTTTGTTGGCCTGGATCTGGCTCCGTACACCGTCAGGTGAAACATTTTCTGAAGCTGTGTTGAATGGATTGTATCTACAACGTTACCTCAGGCACATTTGACGGAGGATGTTGCTGGTGGCAGGTATGTGGTATAAAGCAATTATATGGTTTCATAGACAATGCTGCACGAAAAGAGGGTGACAGCCACATTTCCTCGAGGCAGAAAGTGAAATAAACGGCATGAACACGACGTGCAAGGATACGACTTGAGTGATGTTAGAACAACAGCAACAGATCAACCGAACCAGTGTGAAAAATCGTTAGGGTCAATTCTAAGTTGGTCGATCGTGTATTTCCTTGCTCAAGTGTTCAACCTGCATGTGCTGATACCTTATCTGGCAAATCCAATCCAGCTTCAGTTCAATTCAGGCCTGTTAGGGTTGTTCGCTAATTGGTTACTTTGAAGAGCATTGGCCAGATGCTTACTATATCAATATAAATTCTGACTGAAAATCAAAAGCAATGACAAGTCTGCTTTCAAATGTCTCTACATTAGTCTGCACATTCTCCAGGAAACCAGACTTTTCTTTGTCACTTGCTGAACTTTTCAGTTCCACTGTGAATAGAATATAAACAGTAACTCAAGGTAATGGCCAAAATGGATCAATACAACTTCAAGATAATTAACAAGGTGGGTTTACACTTATAGAATAAAGCTGCTTTTTTAAAATAATTCCTTTTATAATGAATAGTCGTTCCCATCACTTGAGGGTCTCACACGTATCACCTCGTCGTCTCTGATTTGACGTTAGCTACGCCGAGTCAACCTTTGACTTTCTGTTCTTTTGAAGTAGTTGCCTGGTCATTCAATCAGCAAAGTGGCTCAGCCATGAATACATTACCCTTGTGCAGACCTGTGACACATTAACCTTGACAACACTACCGAAACAGAACGTTATCTGTTGACCAGGTCACATCTCAAAGCGACGCCACTCTCTGCCATGCCGTGAATAATTCATGTGAGATAGGGGAGGAAAGCAAGTCCAGGCCAGGCAACGTCCCTCCAATCCATAGGCAAAGTGTACACGTAGCACTCTCGTCCTTATAGCTATTGATTATGTGCCACGTTGGCCAGAAGCTTGGCAACAGATTACCGACAAAATAGACAACAAGACATCCTCACTGTCCACACTTGTTAAGTGTTGACTGGAAGGCCAGCGGCTGGAGGAGAGGCGAGCTGGAGGGGTTGAAAGAACTTCCCAAAAGGAAACGAACACAGCCCTCTCATTTATATGTTATACATGGATCCCTGCGAATGATGGCCTAATCAGCCCTGTCTCTCTGTGTGTGCGGGGAATTAGGACATTGGTGGTGATGTGCAGAATGACAGACCCGTATATGTAGGATTTGTCTGTTACACCTTAATCCATTAGGAAAGTCTCCTGACTCAACTGTCGTAAAGCCGATTTGGAGCCTGCCGATAGCATCAGTGGGCATCGGGGAGGAGGAAGCTCTCAGCGAGAAGCGGCTCTGCTGATATGCAGATGTTCTGAGAGCATTTGCACGCTGACATTCTGAGGATTATTTCGGAACTCCGGCAAGTTGGGAGTTTGATGGACAATTAATATGCACTTTTTACTTTCAGATACAAATTTCCAGGAGTTTGGATTTCTCCAGAGGCAGCACGGCGTCTTGCTTCATCTGAACCCGGGCAGAGCCTCATTTAGTAGAGGTTAAACTGAATAAAATATGTTAAATGGAGACTGCTGTGCAAGGGCTTTGCCTATGTGGACAACATCATGTCTAAAGTAATTTCAGAGGGATTAACGTTTGTGGAAACCGTTGTCACATGCTGTGTTAGGTCCATGCATAATGAATTGCATTGGCTGCTCGGGCCCAGTTGGAAAGGGTGTAATGGCCCTGAATATGTCAACACGTACATTTCCATTATTAACCTGCTGCTCTCATCCCATCTAATGGTTTCCCATATTATTTATTAACATCCTGAATACTAATGTAAATAATTCTGTCCTCAATCTTTGTTTCTGGCCTCCTTATGCACGATCAAACCAAATCCACAGACAGGCTCCCCAACGTTCGGAGCAAATGTGTCTATGGAAATCGTAATTATCAGTTACCTAATCTTTGTTGGAGTTGCCAAAGGGGGAGTGTGTGTGTGTTTTTTTTTTAATAGTATTTATCATCCATTTATCAAAACTGTATTCAAGACCTGTCACAGCCCAACTTACACAATTCAGAAAGTTTTACTACAACTTGAGCTGTCCTTCTGTCTATATTTGTTTACATTTTTGACCCCATTATGTGTTCAGAAGCACCTTCTAGCATCTCCGGTTTACAATGCACCCAGACACAACGTGATGCAGTTCTCGGGCAAGTGCTGGAGCTTTAAACTCTTAGATGGAAATGGCATCCTCAGAGTAAACTTCACACTGAATCTAAGAATTTGTATATTATGTCTGCAGCTGGAGAACTCATTTTGTCACAAATTGCGGCTCAGCGTCTTCCATCCCCTCAAACGGCCTGTGCCCACAGCCCCCCCCCATCCGCCTCACAGTTTGAAAACCTCGGATCTAGATGGATCTGGACACCCGAGCATTACGTCTCAACGCAGGAACCATGGGCATTGATATGCTACTTTGACAAGCCTCCGCTCCTCTGGGAAACCTACCCACAAATATGTTTTCGGGGGGAGAATCAGAAGCAGTGAAGTCAGCTGGTGATGTTGGGTGATGACGCCTGGCTCAGAATCGGTGTTCATCCTAAATGTTTTGAATGTTGCCAGCCGCTGTATGTGGACCTGTCAAATGTTCCCACGCCTAACTTTGAAAACGGTTTTCTGTTTTTTGTGCGTGGTTTTGTTTCCTGAAAACCCTTTTTAACTACACTAAAATCACATGTCAGGTCATTATGATGTTCAAGGGTTTTAGCACAAGCCATGAAAAGTAGGCCTACATGGCCATAAGATGACAGTGTGCAGGTTTATCACAATGTTGTTCAGGTAAACCAGGATATCCTTAAAAGGAAAGGATTACAATAACACATATGGCATGTTTTCGTGAATGATCTCGCTCCAGTTTTTGCCAGCATCTTTTTCCTGGCTACACATTTGAAATGAGTAATGACTCGGTGTGCTCCTAATAAGCACGGAGGGCCAAGTGGCACATTGACAAAAGCAAACTTTGCTAATCCCTTTGCACACTGTTCTGATTTCTCTCCCCCATTCTGCCTTCTTCCAGGTTTGATGAGCTTTTCCTAGGGTGCAAAATCTTAAAGTGATTTACATTTCGCCACGTTTCCCCGCCATAACATCCTACCTTATCAACAATGCTACCACGGCTCCCTGTGCAATCTCTTGGTCTTGAAATTACAAGGAGTCTGGTTAGAATGACTTCGAGACATGCTGGAGCTTTTTTTTTAACTTCTTTATGTTTGATCTTTTAAGACCATAATTTAGGACAACATGCTAAAGCCACAGTGTTGCCCTGGAGGTCCTTGAGGGATCTACTAGGAATGCAGGAGAAAAGAAGGAAGAATATCCTTACCTTGATCAATCAATTCTAAAGGTTTTCCGAGGCAGTCCTGCAGGTTTTTTTAATCCATTTTTTGTCAACATCATTACAGAGGTTTGGTTATTTAATATGCCAAAGTGACATTTACAGCTAAGACCATCTCACTGTGTAATAAGAAACACAATTCATTCCATTTCTCTGCTTACAATACAGATCAACTGCAGCTTCTAATGACGTCGGGTATAGAAAGTGTGTTGCAGCAGGGAGCCTGATTAATAAAGGTATTATTCAAAACGCATCGCCTGAGCATCCTCCGCAGGGACGTAGTGTGCGGAATAAAATGGGGCGGAGTAGGTGAATGGTCAACAGGGGTGTCGGGGGGGACTGAGAAGTGAAATTAGGTGTATTGTTGTACCTGGCTTCAGCAAGGAAGTTGAGGAGCAGGAGGAAGATCCACAAGCCCAAATCCAGTGGTTTAGGCTTCCAAAGTGCAGCAGCCATATCAGTTTAAAAAAGGACTCCTGCGGAAAGGTAGAGGGAGATGATGTCATACAGTTTTCACTGACAAACGATACTTGTCACAGGAATTGAAAAAAATGTTTATGACTTAACAGGGAAATGCAGAAGTTTGTCATCAAATGATTGACAAATTGATATTTTATTTTAAATTTTGTAAGCCTCATTCACGGTGGGCCACTCTCCTTAACCTGCATTCGCTTATCTGTATCATGTTGTTATCAGCTCGGAGACATTTTTCATCGTATTTTGGCAGACGACTTCTTGGTAACGTAACCCTATCTGGGCTAGGAAGGAATGACGTAGGGACGGCGTGTGCAGCTCTGGCAGCGGCAGTTAACTGTCAATCACAACGTAGCCACAACGTAACGGTGCTGTTTTGAAGAAGACTTGATGAGCAATCTAGACCATGAACTCCGCTTTGCGAGTTTTACTGAGCTAATGTATCAAGTCAGGTTTCACACACATGAGACTGAGTATGAAGATGGGGTTGTTCACTCAGGGGCAACAACAGTAGAGGGGTAGGAAGTCCGGTCCTACCCTGATTTGGCATCCCGGCTTGGGTGATCCCATCGCAAATGGATTTATGTGATTAAAAGTGTCTGTTTGTTTTTGGGTGGTGATGTCTGCTATTTGTTGTTGGGCTGTCTGGAGGAAACGATCTCCTCTGATTCTTTGGCTGCTCATTACTTGAGCTCATATTAGGCAAGACTTCATGTTTAGTTTTATTATTTATTTAGTTCCTCAGTGGGATGGAAATTTAATGATGCCCAAGGCCGTCAGCAGCCACGTAGTCGGAGACCGCTTCATACAATCAGCTCAGGATACGGACCATATTATTATGTTTGCACAGCCGGCAATTGGTCATTTCCATTTTTAATGGGACTTGAAGGTTCAAAATGTTAATTTCTTGTTGTAGATCATCTTTCGTTCTTTGTGATTTTATTCTTTCTGCTTTTCTTCCATCATATTTTGGGGTAAAACATGTATAATATTTATATTTTCTAGGTGATGGGAAGGGTTATACAATATTTATAAGACGCCTTTATAATCAGATCCCCACACAAATAATTTATTAACTTGACTTAACTTAAACTACTTTTAGCTTCAACTATTCCATCCATCCATCACATCATGAGATGTGTGACAAAATAATCAAAACGAACACATAAAATATTCAGTGACCCACCTAAATATTCTTGAGCCAAATGACATTCATTGTGAGTATGTGTGTCTCCACTCGCACACGTGACCCTCGGTCATCACGAGAGAAGACGAAGCTTAACAGCTCCAACATTTTGAGCAGCACACTAGACACAAACACTGGAACAAACACAATGCAGCACAGTCTCCTCCTTGTCTCCACTCTATGGACATTATAGCGCATAGCGGCTGCATTCACAACACTGTAATCATTGATAATTATGACACACCGGTTGCAGTCCGGCAATTTGCAGAAAGATGAAACTACATCTCGTGACAAATACGAGCGCAGCTTGAAAACAGAAGGGAGAGGAGGGGGAAAAGGAAGTTAAATGTCTACAGCGGTTAGACGGCCGCTCGAGCGCTCAGACACACACACACACACACACACACACACACACACACACACACACACACACACACACACACACACACACACACACACACACACGTATAGCAGCTGCGTCCAACGAAATGGGCTTGCATTGTGATTTTTGTGAGAATCTGCCCACCTTTACTGAGGAGTAAACATGTGAGGACACATAGGTTAGCGTTGAAACTATATAATGCTGCAACCTGTGACCATCTTCCTACGGCTGCGATGCCATTTTCTATAAAGGCCTGTCTCCATATCGATTGTGGCCGAGCACCAAGTGAATGATCTTCACATCTAGTAAGTCTTTACTCTGACAGCGATGCTTGTGAGCCAAAAAGCTCTGAAATACCCGCCAAATATTATAAGTTGTGTATTTGTGAATGGGTGATTAGATCTGTAATTTCTTGGCAGTGTTTAACCCAACAATATTTCGACAAGAGCCACTTGTAAGAACTTTCCTCTGCCAAATAGACTTTCTCATCGATGCTTTGGGTATTTAGGGATTTCAGAAGTCTTTCTAACGCTTACGGTTTCAATCTACTGGTTTAATGGGGATTTGACAGTAACCAATATACTTGGGCACACTGCTCCATCAATCCAGGGACCATGAGGTGTTATTGATGTAACAATATTGACTGTCGTTGTTATTAACACGCCTGTGAGTGTCCTCGTTGCTGATATAAACCTCCATCTATCTACTTTTCCTCTTATGGCTGAAACATACTGTGGTGGCTTACTTCTGTCCCAGTTAGAAACATCTGCATATTGTATATATGTGAAGCAAGCCATGTGATCTTAACCCGAATATGTGTGTATCCAGGTTTCTTATTTATTTATCACCCTAAAATGAGTTCATGCACGACATTTTGCAAAGCAGATTTAGGTTAAAACCCATTCCGGATTGTTATCCATTAAACATGTAATGTCCCCCATAAACACTACTGGATGCCGTCTGGTGTCTGAATATCTTTCTAAAAAGCGCATTGCTAATTTCCTGAAATATCGGCACCTATTCAAGACACTTCCAGTCGTACAAGTATCACCTTTGCCCATTTCCAATGCTTTATGTCCTGGAAGAATGAATCTTTTTTGTGACAAAATGAGTTCCTGAATGAACATGCTCAGATTTCAGAAGTTCAGTCCCAGCACTGTTTCGACACCGATAGTCTTTACAGTTTGTAATTCAATAGTGGGGTGAGTCCTCATTAAAGAGAAGCACGAAAAGCAAAGTTCAGACGGACTAAAAACATATAGTCAGATCTTCTATAGGATGTCTGTTCTGCTTCTTCAGTACGCGTCTCCTTAGCACAAGCACCAATTAGAGCAGAAATAAAATCCACCCAGAGAGCTTTCTAGACTGCACTCCTACAAGAGAGGGAAGAAAAAAAAGAAAAGCGGGCATGAACAGACTGACTGCCGGCCGCGGCCTACAATTGTGCACCCGATTACAAATACCTGTCATGCAAATGAGGGGCTCAGTGCGTCAGCGGTCCCCAGAGCTCGGATTGTGCTTGAAACGGAGAATATAAAGGAAAGCAAAAAACAAAAACGGTCCTTTTGTTGGCAAATTAAAAATAGCTTGCCGAAGGTGACAGGAACGAAACTCTCCATTTTCCACTATTCCAACATTTGTTTTCTATGCAGTGAGTAATGTAATCACATTTGACAGAATTAAAAGGCTCTGAATGTTTTTGATGCAAATTAGCTGAATGATCTGGCTGAGTGAATATGCTGGGTGACTTGTTAAACAACACAGATAATAAGGGGTAAAATAATAAGCGGCAGGGCCTAGTTTGCTCTTAGAAAAACGCCATTTGGGGCCAATTCAGTTCAGTTATTATATTTTTTTTAGTTTCCAGTCAGTCATGATCTAAAGGGAACTGAAATGTCATATTGTAGAGTTAATGGTATGTTCTCTATTCAGCTAAATCCCCAGTGGTGCAGTTACTGCTCAGGAAGTCAAAGAGCAGCTAAAGACCTCATCAGCCAATAAACACCGACTGCAGTAATTGTCGAATTTAGGACACATCTCTATAGTCACGTAATCCAAGTGGCTGTTCAGTAAAAATAGCCTTAAATCCTGTCACATTCGGCTTGATGTGACAGTCTAGCGCTGGGAATCTACCAGTGGTCTCAAATTCAACAACATATTTTAAAAATCCTAGTTCCAAACTGTACCCACAGTGGTGGGAAACCGATGTTGTATTCAGTGTGATAGTACAACGTTTATTAGTTAACACCGATAATTAGCTGCTTTTCATGGCAGATACTGAGATCAGACAGCCGTTACTATCACACGCCGGTATTCACCTGCTGGTAACTAAAGGTGAGCAGTTTTCAGGGAAATAAATGTATTTAACCAGTACGAGCACTATTGTAAACACTGTCTTGATTGTGAATGTGATCCCAATGTGGTTATGTAGAGGCAGATAATGAAACACTGAGCTCATGTTACCGCAGCGCGGCTCATTTACAGTCCCTTTATTTCTGCCAGTGCAAATGCGCTTCCAAAAATCTAAATGGTGTTCATTTGTGAGCAAGATTATCTTGCTGAACAAAACATGCCTGTATCATCAACTCTGTTTGCCACAAAGCTTACTTTCTGCAAAAAAAACGTAAATCCAATGGAAATTTCCTATTGGCTTTTCATCACTAATCAGTAAAACGCATCATCCTTAACGCGCTTCCAAATGGCCACATTAGGAACATGGAGGTTGGTGTCCGTGACAAGAGAGGAACACAGGTGGAACTAATAATGAGCGAGAACAATTTTTCCTGTTTTTTCTTTTGGGACTGTGAGCGTGAGCATTATGATCATTGCCGAATGATCAATGTATCGGGCCGCCGGGCAAGGCTGTCTCCACTAGGGCGCATCGCTATGATGTTATACCAGTGATCATTTGTCAAGATTTAGGTTGTTCCTCACAGACTTGTAATGAGAGTACAGTGAATACATTATGGGCAAAGCACTGTATGACATTGCACCTCCTTTATTGCTTTTAGGGCAGGCACTGCTGTCTCTTTCATCATGCTCAGGGTTTACTGACTCATTTTCAGTATATGATACTATAAAACGGTTGCGTGAAACAGCCCAAGTGGTCCATTTTGATCAAAGCTTAACATATTTTATCTCCTCTGAAAAGGAGAAGTGATTTGATATATACGTTGATGTTAGTGCTGAACTTGGCAGGCATCTAAAGAATAAAGTCTCTGGCTGTTATTGCCAAGCTTTTCGTGGATAAAGCTCTGCAACTGCAACTTTATCAAGCTGTAATACTGTACGACGTCTCTAAACCTGCTGTGGTCTCTCATTAGCATAAAGAAATGAATTAAAAAAAACATACCAGATGGATTCTTTTTTTTTTTTAACTCAGAAATAGATTTGGACTGTGTCGTGTGGGTGAATTCACCCAAAGGTAGAGGGAG